TATATTAATTTGTAAGATTTTCAAATTTTAGGGGGCGAGCGCCCCCCTCGCATCCCCTGGCTCCACCACTGATTACATTGTATCTTTTTTTCCTTTTTTTTTCTCACATGATCTTTTGTATCCCTAAGAAAAATAGCTAGTGGCAATTTTGTAAATATTTTGATATTTGGGGCAGCTGGCAAAAGTTTTATGTTAATTGGTGATAGTTGGTGTAATTTTAAAAATCTTAGTCTATTTTGTACTATTTGTATAAAAAGTTTTATTTTTTATTTTTTATGTAATGACATTTATTATAATTATTGTAAATTTTATTACAATATTTTAATAACTGTACTAGCTTATTCTAATTTATAAAACATTGAGATTTTATGTCTTTTTTATTTATATAAAAAGTTTATTTAGCCTTTTTATAATGTCATTTGCTATAATTAGTTTTTACTTTATATCATTTTGCATTTCATAAATTTTTTTTTCTTTTTGTCTTTTTTTATTCGTTATAAAATTACTTGTATTGTAAATTAAGTAAATAAGATTTGATAAAAGTAATCTTACTTTTACATATTTTAATCAGGACCTTTTAAATTTATTAAAATACTTTGAAATTAATTATTACTTTTTTTATAAAAAAAGTAAAAATTAAGATATTATAATATTAAAAATATTAGAATATTTAATTCCAACCATACAATGAATATATTTTAAGTGAAATTTATATCATATCTTACCCATTTTGTAATTTTAATTAAATATTCTAATATTTTTAATAATAGGATGTTTTGTTCTTTAATAACTTTTGTCAATATATTTTATATTATTATTTACTTTTAATAATGGTTTTCTCTTCTTTAAAATATAAATACATCTCACAACTCACGAATCGAATTGGATTATGCTAGTCTATATTTAAAGCACCTTAATTAAAAACGGCTGTGATTGGAATTGGATTCGAAAGGTTCCCATTGTTTCTCAACGTTAGTAGTGCCGGTCCTAACCCTTCAACGATTGGTAGAATTGGTAGAATATCGATTGAACATGGGCTCCTATACATGTGACTCCTTCCCTTGATAAATTTCAATACTAATTAGCATCGCAATTTTCTCTACTTGTTCCTAAAAGTCAACACTAATTGTGGAAAAATTATGATCCAACAAAGAAACACCATCCAATCCGGCGGTAGATCAGATCCATTTTACCCTTTATTCCATTCCCACAATCTCCCTCTTCCTCCCCCAGACACAACTTATGTAAAATGACCAAATTTTATAGACTTTCTTTCGAGTTTTTACTTGTTTCAAAATGCTCATCATGTTGTGTGACTGATTAACACTCTATGCTATTTTTTTCTTTTTCTTTTTGAAGAACAACTTTTCTAATACACCTAGCATTTCCATTAAATTAAATTTGGATCATTGGATTACCGTATATTGACACCTATTTTTACTTAACGTCAAATTTTGGGTAAGATGATGATAGGTTGAGGCACCAAATTAAAATTAAATTTGGATCATTGGATTGGATGGGTGGCCTACTTCAAGAGGAGACAAAAACATTGCCTTCAAACCCAAGTTGCAACTTGTCTGGATTTTCTACATGAACAAGTTGTTCCTAATTCACTTGTTGAGGCAGTTGAACTATTCTATTTATTTTTTTAATCAAGAAAAACAACCACCAAACTTCCCCAACTCCAATATCTTCTTCCCAACTCATATTTACAAACAGTTGATGAACCAAGCCATGACTACAGAAGATTTCAGCTTCCCTACCATCACTGACTCCTATCCATATAGCATTGATTCGCCACCCTTATGGCATCCTTCTCCTGCTGCATCACCTGATGTTTTCCATTATAAATCCATGAGAGAACGCGAAAGAGGAGAGAAAGAAGATGATGATCGTGATTGTTTTGGTACAGAGGAGAAGCAGAGGAAGAGCTGTTCATATATAGAGAAAGGGTCAAAGATGTCAAGGAGAGTAGGGAATGCTGAAGATGGGACTGAGAAAATGGACCTGTTGTGGGAGAATTTCAACGAGGAACTTTCCAGAAGCCGCAGTTCAAGGATGGACTATGGTGATATGATGGGATTGGGTTGTGTTCAGGCCTTGAAGCTGTCCAAAACCAGTGGTGGAATGTTTTCTCCAAAGAAGCCAAGCGTGGTGGTATTATTCAAGTCCTTCAGAAAGCTCTTCTTGCTTCACAGATCACACAACAGAGGTTAGCAGAAATTACATTAAAAAATTGTTCATTGTATGGTGTATAATATCACAAATCCAAGAAGAAACCATAAAAGATTGGGAAGTATATGTCTGTATCCCATTATACTACAAAACAGGGAACTCTTACATATGAAGAGAACCTCTAATATCAAGAGACTCATCCCTTGTCTTAATGTTCATATTTTGTAATTTAATATAATTTGCATTATAAAATAATTTTTCATTTTAATTATCATTACTTCTTACACAATTTCTTTTTTATGTAATGCTTTTAGAATTGATTAAAACTCTATAATTACAGAGTAAATATTAAAATAACACATTTATCTCTAATAAAAGTTTTAGAGATCCACTTACATATCTAGTTTTATGTATAACATCTATACAAAATTTCAACCATTCACCTCTCTACTTTCAATAATTAAAATTTATTAATATTTATTAAAGATAATCATCTTTTTTATCTAAAAAATCATAATAAATCTTAACTATTAAAATGAAAAAATAAATGACTATGATTTTATATAAGCATGAAATGTAAAATTTATGTATAAATAAATCTTTCCTCTTATCTTTATAAATAAACAAAAGTAATAAGAATAAAGTTAGAATAATAACATTTAATATCTCATATAAATAGAAAAATAGGACAATGAAAATGAAACACCTAAATTTAATGGTAAATGGGACAACTAAATTAGAACGGATCGGGAGTAACATATAAATGACAATTGAAGTTTTTTGTTTTATACATAGTTCTTGTGGATTTGTCTTATTTGATAAAAAAAAAAAAATTCAATTGATAAACAAAACATGCCATATAAAAATATTGCTTAAAATTATATATGAAAAGTTAAAACGACAACTAAAAGGAAAGGAGTTATTTTGCATTCCATCTTAGGCTCACAGCCCCAGTTTCTCCCCTCTTTCCAACATATATGGTTATTGGGTTAAGGAAATTACCAGATCCTAAGGATGACATCCTGACAAAAATTACCAGACAAAGTTCAGCAAATTAAGAATATGAATTGTTATCATAATAAGAACAATTCAAAAATTCCATCCATTACAAAAATAAAGAAATGGAAAATTTTTCTTTTACCTCAGAGGAAGTGTGCTACCATATCATCCAATCTCTCTCAATTTCCAAGCAACTGGTGCCTGGAAATCTGCATTTCTCTGTTTAAGACAATTTTCCCAAAATTATAATTTCCTGAGAGGCTTCACAGGACAAACTGGGGGAAGTTAAATGGGCACATCTGCAGTTTCAACTTTCAACTTGAAAAACTCTGATCCAGCCATCATCTTTGCCCATTTTCATCTGAAACGGTTCATGGGATGAGCACAACACATGGATAATGTACAGGACGATGACAGCAAGTCTCTCCCACAAAACATGTGTAGGATTGTCAAACAAGCCAATCAAAGACTGAAAGAATACAATTATGGAGATCGCATGGAGTCTTGATGCCAGAGAGGAATACCTTTAGGATCAAAATCATCCTCTTCTAAGTGCTTAGACAGACGTGCCGATGTTGAAGCACCTACAAAGGGAATGCAATTTTAAATATCATGGATCCCAAAATGTGACATAGATAGGCAAGACAATATAAACTCATCATCAACCAGGTCCTTTGTCTTGTGAAGAAGAAAAGTCCTTGAAAGGATGGTAATGAACCCATATATCTCCTTGAAAATCTGGGTTGGGTTTTGTCGATCCCAATCCTGTATCCAGAATGACTGCATAAGAATGCATGCTACCAAGCTGCCTGGTCAGCTAGCAATTGACTAATTGAATATCATCCATCCAAGGAAATAGAAATAAACGTGTCTTAAACATGATTACTCTGGCCAAAATTGTTAATGTCATAAAGATCGCATGGTATATGGGAGATACAACAGCTGTGTTGAATGTATTGAGAGCCTGCAATTGAAGACAGAGCTCCCATCATCAGTACTCACCAGTAAATTGAAAAATAGAAAAAATAACACCTCAATTTTAAATTTTAAGCTTTTACATCCAATTTCCTGTTCTTATTCTTTCTCACACAAAGCAACTTGCCCAGTTAAATTTAAACATAAGCAGATTGACAAATACAAGCATACATAGTTACATACATTGATACGCATGTGCATATTTAAATATACATGTCCACTATATATATTTAGATAGAATGCCTAGAAAACACTATGGTCCATGTTTAGTTGAATGGAATGGCTATTTACTTGGTCAAACCATGAAAATAAGGGAAATTAGAGGGAGAGCATGGCATGGTAAGGAAAGCTGCATTATTCAGAAGGAAATGAAGACACAAACATTTAGTTGTTACTTTATTTGATAGTGATGTAGACCCTTTAGTAATCATCAATCACATTCATTTACTGCTTATTATATGATAAAAACGTAACAGTAGATAGTGATGCCGGCCAGTTTGTACTTGCTGGAATAAATTAAAAGTTGAAAAATGAGGTAGAATGCTCTTAAAATTTCAAATTATAGATATCATTACCTTATTTAAATCTAACTGATTCATTCCCAAAAATGTTAGCTTCAAAACAATTTCAAGTGCTTTAACACTCATGGCCTGTCAGAAATGTATATATGTTAACACTAAGTGAGAATGAACGAATACATAAATAAAATAGACATGAAGGAAATAGCACAGAACATTAATCAGATTGAAGAAGAGGTAGCACAGAACATTAATCAGATTGAGGAAGAGGATAACTGCCAACAACTAACAACATACTGATAGTGAGCCCATAAGTGAGCAAATGCCAGTATAGACCATCACATTTGTCTGACCATATTGAGGTACAAATTGGAATATAAGTATAAATACTGCCACCATTACAATAGCTGCATACAAAAGAAAAGCTGCAAGAGACAAAAACTTCTCTTCAACATCAACTATAATGGTTAAGTGAAAAAAAACGAAATCAAAGAAGAGGAATTTGAGAAGGGGGAAGGGGGAAGGGGGGGGAGCTCTTCTCTTCAACATCAACTATATGCTATCACTATAAGCTATTTCTCATGGTAAGTATACCCGGCTCAGTGGCAAGATCCCATACTTCTTTGACACAGTTGATTTCATGTTCCTGAGGAGCATGCAGAACAATGGTTGTTGAACCCACAACACATAGCGCACAACCAAGAATCCTAAAATTATTTAATTTCTCACACAGTATAATATATGCTAGACCAGCACTGCAAAGAAATTAAGAAATTAGTATTCAAATATGAAGGGAAAAAAATCAAGATACAATGGTCATTAGTGCTATTTACTTACCTGATAATGATACCAAGTGCACCAAGAGAAGTGAAAAGAATAGCTGGTGCAAATGCATAAGCTGCAAAATTAGCAATCTCCCCAACAATCACTGTCACATGAGAAACTAGCCATTTTAGAGTAATGTATTTGTGGTTTCAGCTCTTCATAAATTTTCTAAAGGGTAAATAAAGATAGACCAAAGAATATACCAATTCCTCTGGTAGAAAACGAACAAAAAACAAAAGATTCCAAGAAGATTGAATGATATGAACAAAATCCAGATGATACAGAAGAACAACTCTGCACTTGTGACATAACTAATGATATGAGTATTTTGGCTAATATGCAACAAAATATGGAAGGCGTGGCAGAGGAGGAAGAAGCTCCAAACTATGGACAAGCAAATGACACTGGAATTTATTGTTGAGGAAAGAAGAAGGTTCCAACCAAGATGTTGATGAAGGAATGCAGATGACGCTGAAAAAGAGAGAGCAGTAGAGGGGTTCCTGTGTAACACTCCAAGAAAATGAGTATATCATTGTCTGCATAAAGAATAAAGAAAAAGAAAACTCACTAGTGATCATGCCAACCCACCAAAGTGGCTCAAAGAGGTAAGAATAACCCCCACTACCTGCAACCAAAATTGCAAAAATTAGAACCAAAACCAGGGCAGTTCACGATTACAAGGTCACAACTGTGATATTATGCAATATGAACCAAAGGGAATATAATTCTACTACCTTACCAGGCTAAAGCTAAGAGGGAAAGCTCTTAATGGAACTGTTTAAAAGAAAAAAAAAAAAAAAAAAAAAAAGGAAAGAAAGAGGGTAAATGTTTGAACTTTAAAGGGACAAATTACTAAGGCTGTCAAATATTGCTAAAGCCTGAGTTTTTTTTTTTTGGTATTTACTGTTAGGTGTCTTTGCCAGCTTTCACGCTGAGTTGATGACTCATGACTGCATATTTACATGCAAAACTTGAAAACAAAACAGAGGCTCACAAAAAACATCCCAGTACCTCAAAGTAGCAAGTATCATAACCAATCAAAGAAAATGAGAATCCATTGAAAACAGAAATCTTGGGAGCAAAAACATTTACTTCCTG